CCCCGTTCTCCCGCAGGAGTCCCTCTCAGCACTTCAGTCAGAGCCACAGGATGTTTACCCTCAGCGTCCAGACTGCAAATGAAGCGCGCATGCGCCGGGATTGACGGCGCAAATTTATCACAATAATTAAAATAGCCTGCGCTTTGTAAAGTGACAAAAGTCGTAACATGCAACTTTTGTCAAAACAAATTAACATGGCACGGAACCATCATGTTTGTTTCGTTTTAAAGTGGGGAAACGTAACGTTAGTTTCTCAGGTAGCTCGTCTGATGCTTTCCTTACCGTGTTAGTAGGTTACAGGCAGTGATAAGGTTGGCTACATATTTTACTTTTAATTTCATTTGAATTAGCTTAAGCAGCGTTTATATTTACTTTATAAATAAATTAACTTGCAAATTATGAGGGCAAGGCTTTTAAAGTTTAAATCTTCTGGCAAAGATAAAGTAAAGAAGATCCTGCAATTTATGGAAGTAAAGCAGAATAAAATCAAGCAAGATCAGTAATATGTCAATTAATTATATGCCACATTCCCATGTAAATATCTGTCTTTGGAGGATGTGTTTTTAGCACCCCTAGTTCTCTCATTTTTATTCCTGGTACAATTCATAATTTGAATCACAGGGCTATTTTTATCTCTATGGTTAAGTATTTTCTCAAGTAGCAACTTTAACTGCTATACTTTCCTGTCTTAAAAGGCAGAACTCTTCTAATCTAAAAAAACCTCATTTGTTGAAATGGGGGGCCTATTGTTTGAACCCCTTAGGGGCTTTTAAAAACAAAAACGTCTTTTAATGCACTTTATGAAACGAAGTACCCTATATTTTGTGGATGTACAGCTACATTTCTCATGTAAGTTTGCGTAGTTTTAACACAAACATTTATTTTTCATATTGCACCAGTACAGTTAATGAGCAACCTGTACTTGTGTGCTTGTTTGTTCTGTCTAAAATGTTTATTTTGGAATAAAGAGGTTAATATAAAAATATTTTTTGTCCGATTCATCGATTAATCGAAAAAATAATCGGCCGATTCATCGATTTTTAAAATAATCGTTAGTTGCAGCCCTAATCATATTCCATCTATCTTAACCTTACTAATCAGTGCTACTATGAAAAACACAGCTCATCCATTACAGGATGAAAAGAAAAGTATGGTATAAAAAAGTATAAAGAATAATATAAAACAAAAATACAAACGTTTACTTAAGAACCGATAGATTTTATATCCTTTGAAAACATTTGAAGCAGTTTTTAAAAAGAGTTTACTTAAGTTTGCATGATTTAGTCTTTAAGAGGAAAATGAGACCTAGTAACCCTTTAGAAATTGCTTAAAATAAAAACAAACCTCATCTTTCTTCTGTTCTTCCTTCTCAGCTTTGACCTGTGGTTGTTCTGTCAGTGGGAGGTAGCTTTTGTTGCCAATGGCTTCAAAGAGTTTATCCACAAATGGCTGGGTCTCTGAAAGAAAGTAAGGTTGTGAAGAAAGTTTTTTTTTTCTTTCTAATGTTGATTAGTTTCTAGATGTAGTATTAAAATAACACGAAATCAAGTGCCAACCTTTTTGTAGGAAAACATCCAATTGGTCAATACACAGGGCTTTAAGTTCCTTTTCACTTTTGTCCTTCTTCACCAAAGCAACAACATATTTTGCGAGAGCAGAGGGGTCGGCATCACAACTGGATGTCAGAATGGGGACAATAATGGGTACATGTGTACATGGAGACAGCTGTATCAACATTTTGGAAATGCTATGGATAGTTAGCGTATTAAGCCTTTTTAAATGTAATAATAAAAAAATAAATAATAAAAGTGCAGTTTAAAAACTAATGTGACATCCTGTAATTCAGAGTTGCATGGGCAGACGTGCTATGCGTAGCTAATAATGCTAAATGCACTTACATGGGCTCCAGGGTTTCAGACAGCCATGTTTTCAAAGCATCGAGGTTATCAATTATCATCTTCAGTCGACCCGAACTTTCTTTTCACGACGGCCCAAGCAGAGACTTTTCAAAATGATGTTATTTATCTGTTTAAAACAGGCACCAAACATAAACCGGTCAAACTTTCCTGCTCACCAACTGGTATTCAGCAACACAGATGCTAACAGCGCCGTTAGCTAACTTACCGCGAGAATGTTCGATAGCCTAGTTGTTTTAGCATATGTATTTCCAGGCCCTAAACGTGCAAAAAAAAAAAACGACTTCGGCACCAACAAAGTTGCATTAGAACAAATGAAAACGCGCATTTAATATTATCAAACTTTAACGAATCGACAACGAAATGTTTCTGCAATTTTATAATCTGTTAAAATTCATTGGCATCCACGTTTAGATGATACTTCGTCTGTGAGTATTTACTTCCGCTCGTATTCACGTTCCCACATTTCTGGAAAAATCGCGAGATTTGCTAGTGAAAGTCCATCTATAAATTTAGCATGAATCTTATTTGTTTAGCTTCAATTGGCGTTAGTAATGCCGTAAAAACCAGATAAAGGAAAAAATAAGTATATATATATATATATATATATATATATATATATATATATATATATATATATATATATATATATATATATATATATATATATATATATATATATATATATATATATATATATATAATCTCTTAGAGGAGACTGATTTGTCTTCTTAAGACAGCTGTATATATATATATACACAGAGCTGTCTAAAGAAGACAAATCAGTCTCCTCTAAGAGATTACGTTTACATAGTTATATTAATTGATTTTGCATATGCATTCACGTGAACTTTTCAATATAACATAATAGTTTTAAATAGGTATTATACTTAAAATGCAAAGGCGCCAAATTCTTCTATCAGAAATTAACACAATTAGCAGAAGTGAAGGTTTATAAAGTTTTTAAAATGTCTGTGATTTTTCCATGATATCTGTTTCTTTGAGATAAATTAACTATTCTAATTTACTGAATGATTAGATAATTTTTAGCATTTAAAAAATAACCACAATGTAGATCTTTAATAACGAGAAGTGAAGACTTCCTTCATGTACAGAAATACATTTTAAAAAGCACATTTCACCATTTAAGTATAGTTGATAGAAAGCAGATAGTTAGCTACATGGTAGATAACATGAACAGTTTTATCAATGCATTTTATTACCTACAAATTTAAATATGATTGAAATTATTGATAACTTTACATTTTCATTAACTGATTTAAGTCATATCCCATATGTACTCATGTCTCTTTTTCACTCTGCATGCATTCCTTCGCTTTCTTTTGCTATCCTGCAGTAGCTCTGAGAAATATTTCATTCTACAAATAAACATATATATTAATGTCTACAATGGTCCCAAAGGGTCAACCATAAGTATTATTCAAAATAAGAATTATACTACATTTACAGACAGAGGGCACTACTACATACATCGACTTGCACCACTGGCAAATATACACAAAATAATGATAATAATCCATCCATCCATTTTCCACCACACTTATCCCAAGCTGGGTCACGATGGAATGTAATTATAATAATAGTAATCATAAAAAACACCATTTGCTGTGTATAGTAAGTTAAAAAGGGTTGAAGTGAGTATCCTTCATTCATATAACATTGGGTTGGTTGTTATGTAAACTAAAGAATGGATGCGCGTTGGGGCATTTTGAACACTGCACCCTTCCTGAGTGCTTTATGTCCATCCCTTTCATACATTAAGCAGGGATCTTCATCCTTGCAGTCAATGCCCACTGCCCATGTTTTAAGTGTTTCCACACATCTGACTTAATGACATAAATTAACAGGTTTTTGTAACCAGAAATGGTTCCTAAGGAGTTAATACTGACATTTGATTCAAGGGTGTGGGGTAGAGACACATCTAAATCATGGAGGACAGTTGGCCTTGAAGACGAGGCTTAAAGATCCCTGCCTTAACAAAGTTCAAATTAGATTCTTGAAAATGAAAAGGCACCTCATTTGCTTTCCCGATCACCAGCTCTCAATCCAAAGAGGTTAAATGGAAAAATTGGCATCATGGAATTTGGAGCAATTATTGCTGATTTAACCTTTTTTTAATTTTTTTTTATGGCACAAAGATTCAAGACAGCAGAAAAGACAAAATTAGCAAGTTTTATTTGATAATGGTATTTGTTAATTATCAACTAATAGCAGATTCCACATTAGTTACGCTTTAGGTTCTAACCTCTAAAGGCTCTCATCGAACCTGCAGTTTCTAAATATAATTTTAAGACTTCATGGTCTTGCAAAATAAACTCTTATTTCACAGAGACCAGAGGCCTTGAGATGACAAATATATGACCTCACCATTTGTTTACACTTTAAAAGTATTTCTTCATTGCCTGACATGTCTACGGTATATTTTTCCTTTTAGGCACCTTATTTAGCAAATGTAGAAATTCAGAAAGTTTGAAAAGGCCTGATTTTAATACCAGAAAAATATTGATAGCAATTTGAAAATTTATCTCTAAGGCAGTCATGAACAATGTTCAAAGTAATGGGTCATAACACCTTAGATAGGTTCCTTAAGTCTCAAGTAAGTGCCACCTTTCACCAGACCATGTGTGACTGATCAGTATGGCTGATCCCCATAACATGTCTTTGAAGAAACCTTTTTAATACCAGTTAAAATAACATCTGATTTTACCTTTGTTATTAAAGGATTTATTTTGTATCGTTCTTGTAATCATATTAGCTTTTCCAAATAATACTGACCATTATAAAGAAAGCTTTTCTAATTAGTTGATAGCGAGCTACAGGATACCCAATGAAAATGTCAATTATTTAATTTATCCTTTTATCAAAAGTCACCAAAACAACCCCCCCACAGAAAAAAAATGTAAAACATGTAATTAACATATTAACTTCTAAATTTTTGTTTTCATGGGCCTTCAAACCTCTACATAATAGCAGCTGACAGACTGTGTGCAGACTCCATATTAGAGACCTCCAAATGTGCAGTTATTGATATATCTCAGGCTCATCCATACAAAACACAGTACATTCATGGTTTAGCTTAAAGTTCTGTGTTTTTATTACTTTCAACATAAACTACAAAAGTTAAGGACATACAAGTCTTTACATTTTGTTTCAGTGTGCCTTCCAGCCAAACTACCCCCCCTCCCCCACTTCATTTTTCTTCGCAAAACAAACCATCCCAAACATGCATTTACCTTCTTTAAAAGAAAACAAGTATCCTGATACATTGATGAAACACTTTCGACCAGCAGCACATAAACCACACTAAACACATTCTGAAATCCATTTACATTCCATAAAACTAATGCATATTAAATTAGCAAAAATATATACTTTAAATAGTTAACTTTGTGATTTATTATATAATTTCTTTAAACATCTAACTAATGCGATTGTAAAAAGTAAAAAAAAAAAAAAAAAATACTAATCTCAATAAAATGTACACTAAAACAATTTTGTGTGTATTTATCTTTTTGACATATGAGTTATGAAACTTTGCTTTCTATGGAAACAAGAACAGTCAAAGGAACAAAAAAGAAAGACCATTCAACCACAAAAAAGCAATAAGATTCAACATTTTGGTTTGAAATAGACGCAACTTAATTATTGCGTAAAGCTTGTCAGCGTTTTTCAATAGGTTTAACAGCTGCCCTTTAATGTCTAGGTAAATTGATTTCTTGGACAAGGAGGAAAGAGTGAAAAGTATTTACAATAGCTTTTGCACATGTATACATCAAGACACAATATTATAAGTAACAGCTCTTTAAAAAAAAAAAAAAAAAACATTGCTCCCGCTTACATTTGTTAAAATGATGAATAAAATGAGTAACAGTCCAAAGAAAAAGAAAAGAGCTGCAGTGGTTGCCTCCATCGACATTCATAAAAAAAAAAAAAAAAAAAAAAAAAACTTTATAACTTACAGTATGCACAGCATTCGTTTGTTATGATAAACATCTAAGACACATTCCTGGCCTGAGTAAAAACCTCTAAAAGTAGTGTGTTTAAGAACTCCAATAAGGATGAGCATTCATTTAAACATCCAAAGAAGATTTTTAAGATCCGAGAATAGCCCGGACCTAGTTTTTCCTTTCAATAAACTGAAGGTTAATGGGGGCAGCAGGGCAGAGCAGGCCGTGGGTTTTAGCTTTGACTTCAGCAGTAAGAGGAGACACCCCAATGGAGAACCTTTGAATAAGCTGCAAACAAAGCAAAAACAAGCCTTACTTAAGATGCAACAAAGCTGTATGTAACATTGAAGTGTAGGACATTAGGTTTAAATGATACATGAATGGCTTTTCGAGATGAGTGAGATCGTTTGAGAAAGTCTTTTTGACAGAATTAACTATGGTATAGCTGTTAGGTGAAGCCTTTTGCCAGTTTACTACTTTCATTTCATGTGTATTTTCATTGGTCATCAGGATCTATGCAGCTGCATCAACAAAGGCAACAAATAGAGCAATGTTTGGTAATGATGGGGGTGGTGTGCCACACTGTGTCTCACATGGGTTCAGGGAAGGGGACAAAGGCAATTACTAAAGTTGCAGAACTTTTAGAACCAACATGATGGAATATAAATAATTAGTGGTTCCATATTCCACCCTCATCCCCCCTGAGGCATACAGTTACCGGTAATTTCCCCCACCATCCCCCTGTTTTACATGATCAGAAAAGCTCTAAATTCAGGAGCCGACTTCCCTCTAGTGGCCACTTTGTCCAACAACCATGTTAATCAGATCTCATGAACCCATGTTCATGAGATTTGTTAAAGATGGGTGGACCCATTTACATGCATAAAGAAGGCATAGATCCTGCACCCCCAAACTTAAAACTTTGTTTAAATTGTGATTTAAACACAAATTAAGATTTTAAAGGTATAGTAGAGGATGTTCTTTCTCCGAGTGGATCATCAAAATAAGTGGCGCTCATAATTGTCAAACATTCTTGTGATACGTTTACATAAGGCCGTCCTAAGTCCCCATTTTGGAAAGTAAGTTTGTACGAGCAATGCAAACAGCAACTTTTAAAAAAAGCGTGCATGAGGAGAAATGGGCTCGAGCATGCTCTAGCAAGCGTTTAGTAGACGTTCCCTCTCGGGAGCGGGTATAGGGTTGTGGAGAGGACAAGTCTTTTTCAAAATTTCGCGAAAATCCTGCACTATACCTTTACCTACCGGCTACATTAAGCAAATAAAGCTAATTGTTATGGGTAAGATAAAGGATACAGTACCTATAAAGTTGGTGTATTGTGTGCAAAAACAGCTTTGGGTTAGCTTTCCTCAGTCTAATTTGTGTTTTAAGAGATATATTATATAATATTGTCCTTAACGTAGCAAACAGTCTCTCTAACTAAAAAAATTGTCAATTCTTCATTACTGAAAGGGTATTAAATTGTTCAGCATATCATCATGACAACATTTGGCTAATGCAAGAGCTAAAGGATCGAACGCAACCGTTAATTCAGGTAGTGTTAATTTGCTTTATAATGAATCTCACTTGCTACAATTTACTTGCTACTGAAATGTCCTTCCCTTCCTACAACCAACCGAAGTGAATTTAAAAACTGATATGATAGGAATTACTGTATGTGAGATGGAAGCCTAACTATTCTTCACAACCATTGATTGTGATCTTCTTGGAAGTTAAAACATTGGTCAATAATGATATGTTTACACCTGCAAGCACTCTGTAATCTTGCCTTGAAATAATCTCAAACAAAATCTAAATTGTTGAATGTTAGAATACATTGAGATAGTGTTAACTACAATGCATTTGCCTCATTGCAATCAAAACATCTTTGTTATACAACATTCATTTCACTTTTAAATATGCATGTTTTCAGAACAACTCTATAATGAAAGAGTTAATCAATACCCTACCCTGGTGAGAGCCAGATGCATCTCCAGCTCTGCAATTCTTCTGCCAATACAGCTCCTGATGCCGTAGCCAAAGGGAATTGAGCCAAAGTTGTCCACGCGATCTGAGGAATCTTTCCGTACCCAGCGCTCTGGTTGGAATTCTAAGGGACTGGGAAAGTTCTCTGCATCCAGAGACGTGGAGTAGTGACAAAGGGCCAGCTGAGTCTGAGGAACAGAAAATTGCAATAGGGTAATGAAAACAGGTGGGCTGTTGTGCGTGTGTCACGCAATAATGCACAAGAGATTTAGGAATAATGTTGTATCATGTCACATCTGGTTGTGCTTTAATGTTTTTGGCTGACATACTCAAGGTTTTTTTTTTTTTTTTCAGCACATGCACACTCTAGAAGCATCTTACCCCTTTGGGGATGAAGTATCCACCAACCACCAAGTCATCCTGGGTAATCCGGCCGTTGCCTGGGAGAACTGGAAAAAGCCTGCTCCCCAGAGGGACATACAAAGACTGTTATTCAGCAGCACTACACAGCACTAGGCTGTTCACAAAGACTTTAAGAAAAAAAAATAGAAAGAATCTGAAAAATACAACTAAAGATTTTATATAAATACTCCATGTCTATTTAAGCACATTTTCAAAGTATGTAAGCAAGGAGAGATAAACAGTTCAGCAGTACTGTATTACATAGTATGAAAAAATGTTGGCGTGATGAGCAGTTAAACAAAACATACCTAAGAGTCTCTTTTACCAGCCCTCTGATGAGAGGCAGGCGAGGGACGTCTTCAGCTGTGGGAACAGTTCCAGATCCAAGAGTCTGTGTGACTTCTGTGTAGATTTGCTCCTGGATGTGAGGGTGTCGTGCCAGCAGATAGCTGGCCCAGGAGAGGGTGAAGGACGTCTGAAATAAACAATAAGACAGATGAAAAAAGCTCTATAGGTAATTTATAAAAGCATTTGATCATCATTAAGAGCTTTAAGGAAATCTTGCCCTGTTTTTTTGGGGAGTGGGAGGGAGTTTTGCAACATAGGTGATATAAGAGCTTCTATAATGTTACGCAACAGAGAGGGGGGCTTGAGGAGGGCTAATTCCACATACTGAACAGACACTCATGTTTGCTCCTCAAGCTTAAATCTCATCCTTATCACTTCTCATCCACTTTTACCTTGATTAACTTTTGTTGGATTACATCATTACTTTAATGAATCTCAACTTGGTCTCATAATACAAAATGATCAAACTGCACACGTGGAAAAAGGGGAAAAAAGCATTTCTACTTTACATAACCATTCAGCTAAATTTCCACAGACGTCAAGATCTTTCTGACTGAGCAATCTGATCACCCCCTCTATAAAGCAGAGTACTTCCTCCGTGTGACTCACATTTCACTGACATTTTGATTTGAATGAGGTTGGCAGGTGACCAAGTGATATGAAAATGGGTTTTAACACTCTTCCCCCTATTGACTGTAGAGCGTTACATCTGATTTTCCCTCCCCCAAACCCACACCATTCCTTCTTTTCCTGACTCCCCTGTCTGACTTTCCTATCCAACCCCGCTCTGTCAATGGCATAAGGAGATATCAAAATGGCACGGTTTTTGCATGCACAATAGAGCTCAAAGGGGTGTCGAATGATAAAAAAGCCCATGTCCTTATCTAGGCCTTGTTAAGACCTCTGAAATCCACAAATAATGACCACATGCCCAGTTTGGAAGTTATTTCTAATCAATTTCAGATGGCACTAATTATCTGCACTGAAAAGAATCATATGACTAAAGTGAATTTGTGCCCCTTTCTATGAGGCTTAGGCTTTTTCTTTTAAATCTGTGCCTCCCCCCCAAACACTCACCATACACCAATTTCTTTCTTTGCTTCCTTCTTATGCCAGTTCCCAGCTAATCCCTCACATCCAGACCCTTACAACCCTCCCTCCCATCATCTCACCTCTGCCCGGACTGTGCCATAATTCTGGCTGTAGCTAACGCGTCTTGACAGCTCTTGTGTGTGAAGAGTAAAGGCAACTTGCACTCTGGGGTCAGGTAATGGCATAACTAAGCCCGCCACCCCACAGGGCTGCAGCCAATTCAGCAAATTTAACAAAAACACAGACACCCTTTTATTCTGTAGGCCCAAGAAAAGTACAAAACACTCTATCCCCCCTTAGTTCTCATTAATCTGACAGTACCCCAAACAAATTAGGCTGTAACTGTGAACATGTGCAAACACACTCGTAATAGAAAAAAAAGTTGGCTTTGTCAAAATCTGAACTATTTCCTGGAAACACTTTTAATCCGCTGTCTCCTGGAGTGAAAAAGTATATTTGAGACTCAAAAAAAGAAAAGAAAAAGTTAAACTCACGCAAACAAACCCTTCTTGGATTCAGAGGTACATACAATTAGAAAAACAAATGTTTTACCACAGACGTTCAAACTTAATTAAACTAACAGCCTTAATTACCAGCAAGTAGAACAGTGCTCATAATTAAGTTCTAATGAGGAAACAGAAGAGCGTACAACACAGATGTCTGGCACAGAAAAAGAAGGACAAAGGGACCCCTGTGTTGAGCTAACAGACAGAGACAAACGGCAAGAAACTAAACCAGAGTGAGAACATATTTGTCAGTGGGATACTATGTAACCTCCCAATTCATTTTCCTGACCTGACGCTGGCACAGACACAGATGTGGTTCCTGTAACCTTAGCATGCGCGCTTAACAATAAGTCAGACACACCCTTAATCCTGGCTCCTCCAACTGCTACAATGGGAATAATTACACAATGCTAACCCAACACATTTGAAAACAATCCAAAAAAAAAAGAACAAAAAACACAATCACACACACACCGTATCGACCCCAGCCAGAAGCATCTCTGTTACATTTGCGTAGATCTCCTCCACACTCATCTCCATGGTGGTGAGCATGTGTGTGAGCAGTCCCCCCTTCACTGTCTCCCCCCTTTCAACCTGGGCCTTGATCTCCTTGAATCTTTGATCCACATGAATCATGCCTGGGATTAGACAGATACAAAGAAGGTGGGATAATATGAGGAGTATGGGAGGGGGTGGAATAGAAGGGAAAAAAAAGAAGAGATAAATAGTTATGTAGAGATGATCTACCACAATACTACATTAAGTCAGATTTTAAAATTTATATTCATTTCAGCATTTAGTAAATAAACTTTCAGACAATAAAATGTTACATAGAAAATCTAAACTATAAAAAATGTAATCTGAAATATACAACAATGCAACAGTAGTTATGGAACATTACAAAAACTTAAGGAAAATCTAAAGCCTCTGACAAACTCCCAACGTCAGTGCATGATGCCTTTTGTTTTTTCTGAAATGGAAAAGGGGGGTTAAAGTCAACCCAATCCTATTAAGGGCTGGTTATACTCCCGCAGCAGTGTGTCACAGTGAACTTGTCACAGGTACGACAGACATTTTTGATTTATGCTCAATTTTGAAGCGTGGTCTGCGCTATCTTATTCCACGGCACAACGCAAAAGGGACAATCACGGACTAGCTGTGGGTCTACGGCCGAGGCAGTGGGGGCAAGTTTGTTCGACAATGGAGGGACATGAGGGCGAAAAAGAGCGGGGATACAGGTGGAAAAGGGTCCCAGCGTTCTCACGCATCTCACTCTTCTGGCTGGTCCAACTTAACAAGTTGTTTTCCACAATGGCGGTCATACAAACAAATCAAGCTGGTAAGATACCAAACAAGAAATATGCATAGTGTAGAGCAGATGTAGATTTGACCAATCAGAGGCCTCCTGTCTGCAGTCACCTACAATTTGGGAGATGTGCAGCAGAGTGTCTGCGGGAGGGGGCGGGGATCTCTGTGTTCACTGCGACACCTACTCAGACAACCTAGTTTCTAAGTATAAATCAGCCTTTATCCCTTTTAGTGGCACAGTGATGCATAGTGAAGGTTAGCTGGCCTGGTTTGGTTTGGTGGTCTGAAGTCGTTTTGACAGGTCCTCTGTGTTTCCAGCTCTTTGCTGGACTTTGAAAAATCAGTGGTGTGCTTACACACTTTTCTTCTCGCCATTTAAACATAATAAAAAAAGACCAGGTGCTCAGAGATAGAATGGGTCACTATAATTAAACCAAAAAAAAGTCTCTTCACTAGTATTGACACTTTATGTGCCTCCTTCTGATTGGGAGTATTTGCTAAAAGTGTTGGACCCCTAATCGGCCTTGTGTCCATTTCTTTTTTCTATGCTTTATCCTTGAATGCCCTCGTAAGGGACAGCCCCAGCTTGATGGTGATTTATGAACTTTCAATTGTACTTGTTGCAAATTTTTAACACAACTGTTTATTGAATGAGGATTAAGACTTCACAAATACAAGTGCGGAACAAAAGTCTTGTTATCTCCTTCTGCTTCCGGCCACATCTATTAGCATTTGTTTTTTAGTCGGACTTCATTAACAATAGTGTAAAAGCAAAGTTTACTTACTGAATCTGAACAAGCCATCCCAGGAGAGACAAAACTCTTCCCATGGTTTGGGAATGATCGGACGAAGCCACTTAGGAATTGCTCCAGCATACATGGTGGTCTTGAAGGAACTGAACATTAGATGCAAGGCAGATATATAGTCCTGGGTTGCTTTAGGGATGTCGTTTTCCAAGCAACCTAGTCTACACTCATACAAGATAGCAGCCACGCCTGTAAAGATCGGAAGTTATCAGTTAGAGTTAAGTTTTCCACAATTGTGTAAATCAGGAGCCTATTTCTCTAGCACTGTATGGACATTTCTGCAGGCAGTTCATATTGAGTTTTATTACATCATTTATGTGTTAAAAGGTATTCTTTTTCCAATAACATAATGTTTATGTTTGTGCAGCCCTGTTAGAATAAAGCTAATTTCTCTCTTCTTGCAGAGCTTCTATTGGCTTTTACTCTTTACTAACCTTCCATGGAGTATTTGAAGAAAAGGTCATTCACATTGAGGACAGTAAGTCCATCGGGCTGCTGGCTCCGAAGGGTGTAAACTCTCTTGATTAGGTCGTCCACCACCTTGTTCACATCGTCGGAGAAAACTGCTACGTCACGGGGACGCATTATAAGTTGTCTGAGCACGCTCCGCATCTTAAGCCATTCTTCTCCCTCGCTGAGAAAAAAAGAAAAAAAAAAAAGCAGGGACAGTTTGAGTGAAAATGAAATAAAATTTTAATCCAAACATTGGTACATGTTCATTTATTTAACCTGTTGAAACTACAGTTTGTTGGCAGGATTCCAAAACTCTAAAGCTGGGAGGTTACTACTCACGCTGAGATTAGGCCAGTAGAACGGCCCCTAAGGTCCCTATACTCTTGCCAGGATTCCATGTTGGCTCTTTGAGGGGCCACACCCTCAGCACGCAGCACCTCCGCCACCAATTCACGGTCAGCGATGGAGACCACCAGCTGGGGTCCGAAATAAGACTTGAAGATTTTTCCATACTTCTTGCTGTGCTCCATCTATAAAGCAGGGATGACAGCCTTTATGGAGAGGTTTGTCTTTTACTTACAGATCACACTTCAGCACAGTTTCAACCAGTTACTCTGACATGTCTGAGGTCAAAATGAATTGAGACCAACCAACAGAAACCCTCATTTAAGGTTTCATCAAACTTATTCATCACACAATAAAAACCTTGAATTTTTTTTTTTTTTTATTAATAAACGGGGTTAGTTACACTTTTAAAAACCCTCACTGATAATATTCTTTTTGACATTTTAAGCAAATTTTTAAGCAAGCAAAAAACATTTTTAAGCAAGCAAAAAACATCTAGAAAAAACATATATAGACTTAAGACTCAGTTTATGTCACTTTTAAATATGGGAAATGCATTTTCAAACTATGGCCGATTATTTTGGCAGACAGATGGGAAGCTAGACCTTTATGCAAGTATTTTAAATGTGATTTTGTCTCTAATACTATTTCTTATATAAAGACAAAGATAGGTATTTACATTGGAATAAAGGTTGTGAGAATTTAACACAAGTGAAAGCGCAGGGGTTGTGTTGTTTCATTAAAGTTTAACTGGTTTGGTTTGTCCTATTCCTAATTTAATGAATGGGAAACCTATGGAGTTACTTTCAGCATTTCCGTATCTTGAACTGTTACAAAACTCCAGCCGCCCAGAGGGAAACTGACCAGGAGTTGAGCTCCGGATGCGCTTTTACGCAACACTCAGTGCCATTCTGCGCATAGGTGGCAGAACTGGCCCTTAGCCAACTATGAAAAGCTAAATAACCTTTTTTTTTTTAAAAACGTGAAAAAACAAACATTGTCAGCCTTCTTTACCTGAATCTCGTGAATTCTGCTGAAGCCGTCTCGCCAAAAAAACTCAACCAAGTTGGAAATGGTGCTCGGTCCCGGCATCTCCTTCAAGGTTTTGATCTGGCTTTTCTCTCGGAGCTCCGCCGGTGCGATCAGCCTGCCGGACACGGCCTCTTCTCCGGTTGGGATCTGCAGAGCCTCGCTGGCTGCTGTCTTGTGTAAGGCGCGGGAGACGAGAAACAGCTGCTCGTTCAACAACCCGGCTGGCATACCCCTCCAGCATGCTGCCGAAATGCGGTTCAACACTGCCATTGTTTCTAAAGTTTGAAGCGAGCAAAGAAGGATTAAAAAGGGCAACTTTAGACAAACTAAAAAACTTTCTGGCACGTGTAAAATGCAGACAGGTTGTATTGTGAAAGGCTTTTAAATAGTGGCTTGGACAGCCTCAGTATGCGAGGATTGGATTGTCGCTGCTAAAGATGGGAGGGATATCTGCTCTATTCGGGTGTGGGCGTTTACCCAAAAAGTTTTAAGTCCATCCTTTCGTTGCAAAAGGGGTGCAGTACAACGTGCCATTTAAGTTACATCACACCAATCAATTAAGCGGCATATGTGAACGAGCAAAAGTATGCAGCAGGCGCGCGCACACATACAGACCTTTATTTATCCCTTTGGAGAAACTCCATTAAGGTAATACATTTATCAAGCCTCTTACTTTTAGTAGCCATCTCATCTAAATAGAAGAGAATAGAAAATCCCTTTAATGTCCCACAATAGGAAAATTCTGGTGTTCTGGTGCAGCAGAAAGATTATATAAAAAAATGTCATAAAAATGTGGAACTTAGATTAGTTTATAAGAATAACATAATAGTAAAGAGTGTAAAAAAAAATAAACAAGTAAAATACTGTACTGTAAAGTGTTTTAACAATATAAAACCGTGCACCTGGAAAAAAATATAAAGCTATGGACATTTTTACAGTAAAGGATATTTGAAAAATAGATGCAACATCATAGATGTGTAGAATGACAGCAACATGTTATTTAACTGACTAAGATAAAAACTGCAAAATCAGCATGAATATAACAACTTATTGAGGTTGTTGGGAAGAGTGATGGTTATAAAGTCTCTCAGCTGGGAGGAAGGATCTGTGATAATGCTCTCAGGTGCATTTAGGGTGCAGCAGTGAGGAGCTCTCCAGGTCTGCCACAGCTTCATGCATGGGATGGGAAACATTATCTAACAGAGATTTACATTTAGTTAGGATCCGTTTGTTTTTCACCTCATGCACTGAGTCCAGAGGGCAGCAAATCACAGAGCTGGCCTACCTGATCCGCTTATCGAGCTGCTTTCTCTGAGCTACAGCTGTGGCCTAGTGGTTAGGGCATAGAGCAGGGGTGACAAACTGGTTCCAGAAAGGGCAGTTTGGCTGAAGGTTTTCTTACCAACCAAGCAATAGCACACCAGACTCCAGTCATCATGTTCAGACTGGACTCACTTGAGCCCAATCTGAGTTGCAGCCCCACTCCCACAGAATGCCACTCTGGCTCTTTGAGCAAGACCCTTAACCCCACACTGCTCCTTGTGTGCCCCACGATGGCAGCTCCACTGCTCCCCAATGGGATAGGTTAAATGAAGAGGTAATTTTCTCCAATGTGAGATCAATAAAGTTCAATTAATTATTAAAGATAAGCCACTGCTCCAACACACATCTCTATAGAAAATTGCACAACAGAGTCATAGAGGGCGCACAGTCTCCTCAGCAGGAAGAATCTGCTCTGAGCTTTCTTATACAGAGCCTCAGTGTTGCGAGTCCATTATTATTATTCAGGTGAACACCTAGGTACTTCATTAATGCTTAATACTGCTGCTGTTCTTACTTTTGGGGAAAAAATAGAATAAACACCATTAACTTCTTGACAGAGCAAGTTAATCCTGCTTGATAGCCACCATAACTTGGTTCACATGAATATCCATGCAAAGACTTTTAAAAGCACAGAGGGGTTGCTTAATTTAATCAATTTTATATGCACTCAAAGAGATTGGGGGCAAATAGTTTTGTTTTTTAACAATAAACAGTCTTTGGTACCGGGGCTAGAATAAGCTCAGATTTTGGCCTAAGCATATTTTATTCCTTGTTAAAAAGATGTTCCCCTCACAAAAATTGTACTTTTTTTTAAACTAAGTATTTGATTCTCATTCAGAATCTTTTACTCTACAAAGAGTAAATTCCATCTGAAAGATGGCTCAGATTAGAAAGCTTCTTCTCACCTAAGAGCATTAATCACTGTACATTTGAGGTTAATGGTCTTTGCGGTTCAAGTAATAGTAATAGTTCCACAATTGGATTGACTGTTATCTCTCCCTCTATAATCTAGAGATGATTCAAATCTGCTTTGAGGCTCTTCACCATTGCAGATCCTGTAAGTCCGAGGTTTGTTAAGGACATGGCGCTCAGACTTTAAGTCACTGGGTAACTGATGAGGCAACTGTGCCACGTCGTCTAGGAAAAGAGCAGACTAGTTGGGTTCCCACACTTGTGCTCCCTTGGAGCTTACACAAGACACTGGGGTCTTGATTTTCTATTTGGGAAAACATCTAGTGAAGTAGACCCCTCCTTCTTCCTTCCTTCACCTATTGCTGGACCTTTTTCAAGTGTTTCCTGTCTCTCTTGCTAAAAGGAAAAGAATTCAGAAAATAAAGCTACATGTCTAATTAAAGAAAAAAAAAAAACAGTCAAATGCAGAGAGAAAAAAAATAACAATTTAATAATTGGATGAGACATTTATTAAGGGCTTTTATGGACAACCTACAATTAATTTGAACCTATAAAGTGGAAGTTTTTTATTCTCCAGTACAGAGATATGAACAAGCAGTTTGAGCTTTGAAGCAAAATGTACAAAAAACATAAAAAAAAAATGCTTTTCAGTCAAGTGACGAAAACAGTTACAACATATTTAATTGGCCACCCTGGTCTCCTCATAGATTCAGAAATCTCTTTTCTTCAAAAGCCTTGAAACTCAAGTCTCTCATGTTCGCCTGACCAGATGGGTTCTCTGAACCAACAAATCCATTGTTGCTTTTTCGTGTCCCATGACAACAGAGCAGGTCTTCAGGTGTCAGGTTTCACTGGATCTACTTTCTGAAGCGTTTGAATAGTGGGTGAACGCTCTTGCCTGCTGCAGAGGCTTTGTTTCCCCGGCTTTGATATTCCATATAGACTGTGTCATCTGCGCCTGACATGGAGCTCATGGTGCCAGCTCGCCTGGAGAACTGAGGGAACAGAAAGAAAGTGTTAAGATGGAAATGCTTTAAGCATCATTTTTAAAATTACGCTAAGGTCTAGACTTCTTTACCGGTATATAAAAACACTTGAAGTTATGGTGGGCAAAATTCAGTTTTATGGATATCTAAACCTTTGTTTTTAGCAGTGATATGCCATTTGATTTTAGATAGTTTAAATCACACCAAACAGCACCTCAAATCTTGTCCAATGTGAAAGGGCTTTCATTTTTCCCCCCAACATTTATTAATTTTCTTTTTCCTTTTTAATTTTCACTCTATCATAACAATAGCTAATATTTAAAGTGCCTTTCAGAACACCCATGGACTGTGTACAACAAACATAAATAACAATACACAAATAACAATACACAATATTAAAAACATATAATCAGTGGAGGTGTGCAGTCTTGAATGGATTAGTTAAAAAAATATTAAATTATAGCTATTAATACCGTCCTGAAGCATACCACACTGTCATGCTGCTCTATCTGATTCTTTCCAATGAAATTTAATTTCCAGCGGAAAAATGCTAACAAAAATTTCCCAATAACAAATCCATCCACATTTTCCGAATATCCAACTGAAAAGCCATTCAGATAAGTACTAGATATCCATTCTTCTTCATTTTCCTGCATCAAACAGACATCTCTAAAGCCCGGCGTACACTGTGCGATTTTCCAGTCGTGCGAGAATTTTTCAATCGGGCCGACTTTCAGCCTGATCGTGCGTCGTGAGTCGTGTAGTGTACAGGGGGTTACGAGCGGCGATCAGCCTCTCATGACCATCTGCCGACCAGGAATCGTGATGTCGGGAGAATATCAAACATGTTTGATTTTTTTTCCCCGACCGTCATGGGCAAATCGCTCAGGGCGCATGCGCAAAGAAGGATTCTTCTTTTTCTACTTCCTCTCAGATGTAAACACAGCAGCATGGCAGGGATGCAATGAGTGAAATGTAATTCTGTCTGTAACATTGATAGACCGTAGTAGCTATGTTTGTTCAGGCATGTCTTTTTTCAAATATGTCATTGCCTTTTCTTTTCAGGACTTTCAGCACAAAATTGCACAAATTGCCAAGATAGTGCGGTTCTCTATAGTGAGCTTAATATTCCCCTTCTATTTTTTTGGTTTCTGGATAGACGAGTCAGAGCAGCTCCATCTCACTGCGGAGCTGAGTCCGACGTGGTTTTTAGTCGTACAGTGTGAGCAGGTAGATCGCATAAGAACGGCGGGCCGAACATAAATCATGAGCTGTGCGACTAAACCCTGCGATTAGTCGCACAGTGTGAGCAGCTGCTGCGTACAACGACTGAAAAATAAATAAATAAATACAAAAAAATAAAAAATATCGCACAGTGTAGTAGAGACAAATGTTTTTATAACTAGAACTTCCAAGTCAGTAATTTTGACGGTTCTGAGATTTTGAAGTAAAATAATAATTATTTTTTTTACATTAATCATATGTTAGTCATGTTGACCGACTTTTCCAGTTTCAATATTTCCTTCATTTTCATATTACTTAAAAAAAAGGAAAAAAAATCTGAAAAACAAATATGGTTGAGAATAAATATGGAGAATCAATCAATTTCTGTAACTAAAATAGTTATTTCAAACTTTGAACCAGTGTAGCAAAAAACAGTCTTATTTATTTAACTGATTTATTTTTAATGCAAATTTAGACTACAAATGATAATACCATATAATACAGCCTTAATAAATAAATATATTATATATATATATATATATATATATATATATATATATATATATATATATAGACTTGTTTTAAGGTCTACATATCCACAATGGGTTTATATGACACGCTCAAACCATTTCGAACCATTTCAGTCGATGACATCATCACTAATCTTGCATCCCATTGAGAAAAATGTCACCCGTCATTTAGTTAAAGCCCTCACCTGTGGTCGGACTCCCACTTCGCCTGCCACAACTTCCTCCTCAGCATCCAGGTCTGAAGCAGCCAACACCTTCTGAAGCAGCTGCTGCTGTTCTTCTCTGGTGGAGAACA